TTCGTTTAAATCGTGCTTCATCGCCGCGTAGTTTCAGCAACATTTAAATATCGGTATTCCTCCGTAATAATTAATCATAATAATGATAATTAATAATAATTAATAATGGTATAATAAACTATCTATCTACGCGTGTAAAGTGTATGATTTTTTTTCTTCCTGTTTGTCCATGTTTCGTGGAGTGTGTTCATCCCTTAATTCTACATTTTCTTCGTATTTATATATGTATATATGTATACATATATGTATGTATAAATGTATTTACATACACGTAGCGGACTGAGGGGCGGGGGTTGTAGGGAGGGGGACAAATAATAGCTTTGTCTGCAGCAATAATACACAGAGTATGCTTCTTTCTCTTCCACTCTATAACTTTATACATCATTGTTAATCGTTTCAGCGTTATCATCAAATTCTTCTTCATCATCATCATCATCATCATCATCATCACGATCAACATCATCATCATCATCATCAGCAGCAGCACTATCGTCATTATCATCATCCTCATCATCAATCATCATCAATCATCATCAATCATCATCAATCATCATCATCGACACGCTTGTGAATCAATAAAGGGTACATCTACTCCTGTTCCTCTTTCTCTGTTCCGTTACTTATTATTCCCGTTTAATATTAACGTTATTCTTATCGACACTAAGGGATATTTAAAAATTTACTTGTTAAATATTACTTTTAATCAAGTCGTTGTATGCTAGACGAATGTTGAGATCAAAGAAATTGCGGGTTCCAGGATATTTCCAGTGATTTGTTCTTCGGTTTTTTTCCTCTTCTTTCTCGCCCTCGCGAGATGTCGGTTCTCGAGATTACCAAGCCGTGGTGAACGTTCGACGATCGATAAGCGCGACGTCTGTCACGCTAAATTACATGCGCATCTTCTGCACCCCGAAACCATCGTCTTCCTCCCCCCGTTTTCTTTCATGTACATTTTATTGAAATTTTTCGAAAGAACTGCAAGCTTAAAATGATTATACCCGTGATCCACGATTGTCAGGTTCAATCCATAATAAACTCGGTAACCTTTCTCCATAACAACTCCATTTGAATTTTCTGTAGAGTTTGTAAATAACGATAACAAAAAAATTAAAGCGTGAAGATCATCGGAATAGAAGGTTCGAAGTTAAAAACAAAACAGTGTCGCTGAGTAGAAAAGTTGACGAGATCGATCACGGTTTCGGAACTCAGACTTACAAACACGAATCGCGGGTGACATCAGTTCTACGCGAAAATGATAGGAACTCAGCCCTCTCATCTGCGACATCAGAATGACTAAAATCTGTTTCGTTTTCGTCGTTTACCTCCCTTCGTTATCTGTCTTTACTTACGCGTACGATACACAACGTGCGAACCACGCGAGAATGTCCACGTCGGTCAAAACATTGGCACTTCGAGAGTCGTTTACACCGTTAACACCTCGCGTTTAAATAACGTTCACGACAGTTATTAGTTACTAATTACAGTACAATTAGAATATCGCTGTTCTATCGGATAGACGGTTCTTCATTGCGTGATTTGACAAAAATAATAAATTTCATGTTTCTTCTTTCTTTCGTTTTTTTCTTTTTTTTTGTAACTTGTTCTCTCCCTGTCTTTCTTTCTCTCTCTTTTTCATTTTTTTTGTCACCACCCTTGTTACTGGGTCACATCACTGGGCCACAACGTCAAAATCCAATCTATAAAAAACATTAAATTCAATAGAGTCTGTACAGGTCTCGGTCGATCATATATCTCGCGAAGGACAATAATAATATCGGCAAAATTGTTTCCGTTAAAAGCGCCCACCGCCTTTCGTTTTCGTTACTTTTCGCTCTGATGCCTCTGTTTAAAAACGACAAGCGCGATACAGACTTTTCTAACCGCGAAAAAACAAACTTTGCTCCGGCATAGCCGATATATTTTTCGGAGGACAAAAAACCGAAACGATGTCGTTTGTCTGTCGCACTGTATATATCGTTCCCGGTTATTGCCGGAGTGCAACGAGAGAGATTATACAACACGCGTTTAAAATGTGCTTTGACACGCACCGAATTCCAAAGCCACCTTATCTGTTATCTGGACTGACGCGAACAACGGGTTAGGCAGTGTTTACATTTTTGCGCCCTTATCGCGCGGAACACAAGAACTCTAGCGAGAAAATATATATCGGCCATTTCGGCAAAGCGCTTGCTCGAATATCATCCTTTTTTTTCATCTCTTTCATGTTGTCTTCAATAATCGAATACCAAAAGCACCAGATCACGAGAGCACGGTCACGGGGATCGACGATTATCATTGATCCAGCTAAACAACGTTATTTTTTTTTCTTTTACATCTTGCATTTTAATTCGACATCTAATTGCACAAAGGTACCTCTAGACAATCCTCTCGTTACTTGCTATAGTAAGAATTCATTACACAGTAAAATCGATTATCTACATTTTATATAATATAGACAGTATGTATTGAATACAGGCACGATATAAGTAATTACAAATAATGTATGATGCAAAGTCCTCATCCCGGTATCACAATGGTAAACGGACGCCGCGGTGCAATTCACGTGTCACCGGCTCCAATGCTTCAATGAAAATACTCGCGGGGACTTCATGTCCGCCAGTTCGCGTTTACTCGAGAAAGGAAACAGAAAAGAAAAAAATAAAACAAAAGAAAAGTATGTAAAAAGGACATTCAAATGAAACAACGAATAAACTCCTTTTTCCGTCGCTTCTCCTCGCTCTTACACACCATTGGCTCAGCCAATATCCATTAAATCACACTTTTGAGTTACTCGTCAAATATCACAACAAATTCTTGCACCTCGGTACAGGTATTTTTTTCTCGGAGAATCTTAAATCATCAGATCCTCCCAACATCCCGATCTGATTCGCGTGTATACGCAGCATACACGCTCGTTCAGGAGAGCACAGAGGGGCGGCAACAGGTTGTACTCACTGGACTACAGTGAGATTTCAGTCGAAACAACGGCTCTTGCGACCGCGACAGGGGGCCTAGGGCTACGTCTCCTCCTTCTTTATCTCGATGTTGGTCTTTGTCTTGGCAAGAGTTTCTTCCTTCACGTTTGACAGAACAGTCAGGGAATCCTTCACCGCATGGTAGATGATGTTCTTGATCTGTAGCTTGTCTTCGTGGTTGGTGTGCGTGTCCGATAACGCGCGGAACTCTTGCGTAAGGTGGAAACAATGTGAGACGTTCTCCGGCGATACGAAATCCTCCGCAACTTTTATACAATTATGAAGATTACGAACTTGATGAGGTGCGCCGGCCGGCACGAATACTGCGTCACCTAGGCACTGGACGATAGCGTATCTATAACACGGAAACAGACAATACGTTACTCCTACATATTCCACAACCAAATTACTATAATTATAACACTTGCAATGATTAAATTTATTGGAATCGATTAGATACTTACCCTTCCACACCATATTCGCGGTACAAGCGTTCCCGCAATGGTCCATCGAGATAGCAACTCTGGTCGTGTATTGGATCGTGATGGGGTTCCAAACGTGCACCGCGTTCTAACGCCACGGCATTCAACAGATCTCGAATCTTATCAGCGTCACGGGCTGCGTAGATGTGCCACAATGCACCGGGTGCTTCTCCTCGTTCGCGGACACGTCGCCGTGTCAAGATATCACAGCCTGCTTCATCTATGGCTCTCAATGCTTCTGTAATCATTGAATGTATTGTATCATAGATTAGTTCCTCTGAAAACATTCACCACTCCGAATCTACTGCAATAAAAGTTAACATACCTTTGACGTGTTCATCATTGTCAGAATCCTTCGGAATCCCCACGTAAACCATCACATTGACCGCATCGGAAATGTCTAGGTGAAGATTAGTGGTACCCTTGTTCGGATGGAGAGCCGAACCGTAAGCGTTGTACATTTTCGGTCCCAGATCTGGTCTGACGAAACAATCGGGCAGACGACTAGCTAGATTCAATCTCCCGTTCCGATGCGTATACTCCGATAGTGGAAGTACCTTCATCAGATCGGCGAACCTTGATGGCAACAGTTCCGCGAAGTCCTCGCCCGGAGGCCAATCCTTCAACTTCAGTAACATGGGATTCCCTCTCTCGTCCTTCAATCTCTTCGAGAAGTGCTCAAATCCTTCCCAAAATTTACGCATCGGTTGATTCGGTACTAGGTTTCCGGTCATGCAGTTGATGAGATCGTTCTTCTCATCGCCAAAGTCTCGAGCGAATGAGTCCGGATGCCAGAGATTCATGTCCAAGGACTTAGCGACGTCCGACACGATCACCGGTTGACCCCGTTTCCACTGATCTTGAAATATTCTGTAGTTGTTAGGGTTGTTTGGGTCATTTAACCTGAGCAATTTACCGTCACAAAGCCAGGAATGCGGCACGTCCGGGTAGAGGCTCTTGCTTTCGGTGAGCGTCATAATTCGAATAGGCAACGGTTCCCTTCCTTTTTGCGTCCATTTGTATCTCCTTACGAAATGCTTGAGCTCACGTGGTTTCTCATCGTCCAGTCCACCTTCCCTCTCTTTCTTCACACTATGTTCGATCACGCTCGATATAACTTCATCCAGCGTATCCATCTTGGACTTCTTACCCGATTTTGTCACGTTGTTCTGCGTGTTGTTCCCAGACGCGGTGTTAACGTTGCTCGAATTGTTCGTCGGTGAGTTCGATCTGGACCCGCTCCCATTTGACTTGTGAGAAGGCCGGATCAGCAACTCCCGCAGGGTCGAATAATTGCCGTCTCGATCTTCATCAGAATCTGAGCTCGAACCACTCTCGTTCTTGTCTTGGTTTTGCAATGCCACGTCCGCCAACCAATTCAATGGTGAGTTCTTGTCCTCTCCGTTCGTTTTGCTCTCCGAGGATCCGTTTGACTCGTTTACCTTCTTTTCTTCCTTCACCTCTTGCTTTATATTCCCGTTCATCACCGGCACCGTATCGCCCTTAATCAAACCCCGTAGAAACTCGTTGGCAGATGTTTGAACAACCAGAGAGCAACCGCAGTGTTGGGGGATCCCCCATTCTGCTCGGCACTCGTGTAGTCGTTGCCCAAGACGTATCAGACTGTCACCGGCAATGATTTGCGTGAGCATCAGTCGTTCAGGTTCGTGTACTTGTCTGTTAGTGCACAATAGCCACGAGAAATCGTCCCTGTCCTTCCCGCTTTCACCCCAAATCTTGATCGTTCCGTTCTTGCGTCCCTAATTAGGATAATACTGGGTCAATGTATTGCGCATAGAAACTAACTTTTTATTGTACTCAATGTTGATATCGTTCAGTGTTAAAAAGCTCGATATATTATAATTTTATGTCACGGATACTCGATTCAATCTAATCTCATCATGTTTCGATATAGTGTAATAAACAATACAGATATCGAAGAATGAAGAAAGATTCTTACCTTGTAACAATCGATGCACACAACGAAACCGCATTTACCGCAGGCCCAGTGATAATTGAAAAGAGTCGTCTCGCACACGTCGCACATCTCTCGAACACCCTGAACCACTCGCTTCCAAGCTACCGTTCCGTCTACAAGTCCCGAATTTGCTGTCAAGGTGAAGGAACAGTCGAATACGCGAAGCGTTAAATCATGCGATCAAAGGAAATTGAAAAAAGCGAACGTAGTAATTACGATACACACGGGTAGTAATTAAAGAAATAAAATTAAGTTAAACTGACAATTAACCCATTCACAGTGTAAGAAATTGATGAAAAGTTCTAATATTTTCAAAAAATTTTGTCCACAAAGAGTTAACCTATAATGCTAAACAAAATTTTGAAATTACACTGTAAGAGAGTTGAATTAATAAAATGATCAAAATCTCCCTTTTCTTAGGAACATATAGAAATGATTAAACATGCGTAGCTCATTTCAGACTTAAATATTGAAACGTAGGTTATCTTAACTGTTCTGATTCTTTATTCAATAAGGCTTACCTTCTGCCTTGTGTTGTTGAAGAGCGTCTTTTTCTTGATGGAGCAAATCGCAAAACTGGTCACCGACTTGCCGAAGTAGTCGGTGAGCCATCTCTAAATCCAGATCTTCTTTATCCCCTTTCTCTTTATCATTCTTGTCAGATTTTTCGTCTTTCTTCGTATCCGAATTATCTTTTCCTGGTAACCATAACCGAAGATCTACCTGTAATGTAAAAAATGAAAACGAATTATTAGACCTATTATAAAACGTGCTTCGAGAACAGATTATTCTATCATCGGTAACAATCACCTCAGACGCGTCTTTGTGCGGGTCGCTGAATCCAGCTATAGCCAATTGTCCAGTCTTGGTGTACCGTAATCTACGGAATGCATAAAATCTGCAGAAAATATTTTGTGGAAGGTTTTTCGAGCGCTGGTGCGGTGTCCATCTGCACTCACGACATTTAGCCAATTTCGGGGCGACTTCGAAACAAGCACCATCTTGCAACCAGCTGTCACCAGTTTTCTTTAGTTGTGATATCGGAGGTCTACGAAAGGGATCACCCCTTCCGCCGCTACCACCTGGCCCACTGTTACCACCGCTAGTACTGTCATCTCGACGTTCTTTTTTTTGTCGCGGTTGTTGGTCTTCACCTCCTAACTCATTACCTTTTGTAGTCTTTGGTCTCCTACCTCGTTTCCTGGGTTCCTTGTTGTTTCCTATAAAATAGAAGACACCATCCATCTAAACAACATTACCATATACTTGCTGGTCGTTTACATAGAATATATCTATATTCAGTGTTAAAAAGCTCATTTATATTATCTTTCATGGATATCAATCTTATTTGATGTCATCACTTAAATAATTTTCTTTAGAATTGAATTGCAAGCAAATGTTTTAAAAAAACAGGGTAAGTGTACGATACAAGATTGCAAAGATTTCAAGAGCTTCACGAACCTAAAGAGTATCAGGAAGTTAAAGAGTTTCATATCTGAGAATAAGTATACTTTAATTTCCAGGTAGTTAGAAAATTTAACAATTGTATTGTCCATTAAACGATTACTCCTGAATTTTTAGGGTTCCCGTACAGCTCTGTAGAGAGGAGTAAGCTTATGACCATGGAACACGGATCACTTACCCTGCAAGTGAATAGTTAGTTCACCTGATGGGAAGTCCATTTACAAGAAGCTACGTCAACTAACCGTTTCCCGAGGAATTGTTGGAATTGGCTGTAGTATGCCGCACCCTCGATGCAGGTTGAATGGAACCCAACTGTTCACTGGTGTCACTTGCAGAACCAGCCTCACTTTCATTGCTAGACTCACTGCCTGCGCCAGCTCCTCCTACTTGCTTGTCTTCCTTCCGTCTCCGCTGATCTTCCGCGGTTGTTTGCTGTCTCCTTGCGGCGCCCTTCTTTCGTTTTACCTACCACAGGGCACAGATTATTAAGTAGTCAGGAAGTTCATGCTTTTGCCGTAACTACTGCCAAATAACTATCAACTTGTATCTTCTGCTCTAGCTCCTTTACAAGTGTACTTTGTTTACAATAGCCTACCACTACAAGCAACTTCAGGATTTAAATTCTATTCTAAATATGTTTCATGCAGAAAAATTGGAACACAAATACAAAAAGAAATAGATAACCGGATATTGACTTGAGAATGGATTATTAGACCTAACAAATATTTATATTTTTCTCAAATAGAAATTTATTTTATTAAAAATGATTAATAATCACTGATTTTAATAATAACTAACAACAGTAATTGATGGAAAATCATTATTAAAACAATCGACGAAGAAGTGTTTCACGACAATGTAAAGAGAGGTTATGTTTTCACAGAACAGCTGAACATTTTGAATTAAAAGTAATCATTGTATTACCATTTTTATCCACTCAATGTTACATTCTTCGCGTGAATTATGACAATGCATATAAGGCACATATATTTAATTCCGAAGCTGAAGAAATGAACATAAAACTTCACCGATGTACCACAGGAAGACCGCCTTCCTGCGTGTGGCTTGTGTTATCAAAATGGCGCTGCCACTAGCGGAAAATTCAAATACGTATAGACCAAGAACCGTTGCGGTAACGGTCATAACAACTTGTTCCAATTTTATCGCTAGTTTAGCTATTTCAAAAAAGCTCAAACAACAGTCACCATCCTACAAATAAGAAAACAACTACTCAACATAAAAACAAATAATAAATATACGATGTACCTTAACACTCGTCCAATTTTCGATATTAATTTAAATATGAGGTGTAACAACAAGGTTTTGATATTTCCTACTTTTTTAAAAAAAGACGAGTTGAACTATCATTTATATTTCTCTACATTTATCAAAGATCTTGAATTTAACTATTTATTAGCGTTTAATGGTATTAATAGAGGTTACTTTTGTAATTGTAGTATAACTAGAAAAAAGTAATTTCACAAGTAAAACTCTGAAAATATAGATCTCCATTCTTCAATAATTTATTCACTTCTGTACAACGAATTCGGCTTCTTTCCTGTTCTGCCAGATTTTCATAAGTACCCAATATAAACTTTGGAATTTAAAAATTCGCCCGTTAAGTGGGTCGACGAACAAACAATAAAAGTGAGAGGATCTCAAGAACAAATACTGTTTCAACGAAGCGGTAATCAGTCTGAGTAGAATCTATTTATCGCACAGCTGGCGATTAACGAGATATAATCTATTCGCACATGCAATGATACTGTAACACGTGCAACGACGAAATCATAGTCATCCTAGATATAAACAGCCGACTTAGAGAAACCAAAACTAAAACAACACAGGATGTTTCATAACGAGAAGAAAAGACACAACTTCACGATTCTCGTTAAACTCGATATCGCGTAGACAATTGTTCCTACCGATATCGCACACGATACGTTCGAAGTATCATTCTCAAATCAAAGTGACTCGATTACTCGATCGCGTACTATCTGCTCAGTCAATTATGAAACATCCTGTAAATACGATCCATATAGATACCTTGGGTGGTTTCCTTTTCGGCGGCGACTTCCGGTCCGGGTCGCTGCTGGACGAGTCTTCTTGCAAGTTCTTTGAGTCGGTAGCGTGTCCATTCAGTGACTCCTTGTTGGTGGATTTTCGTCCACCCTTCGTGGTCACTTTGCTCTTATTGATACTGTTCACTGCCATCGTGCCGATATTGTGAATTGAGTTCACGGCACTGGGCAGACACGTGGTGCTAGTGTTGCTGTTGTTAGATGAGGACTCCCGTTCCTTGTTGTTGAGCGGTTGTGAGGTGGCTTGAGAGATATTCAGAGGTAACGTGACGCAGGACCCGCTGCCTACGACACCAGTGGTGTCTTCGGTGCCATCCTCGCCTGAATGCCTCTGCAGCCAAGCTTTCTTCAGTTTATGAACTGGGTAGCTCGTGCTGCTCGGTGGTCTTGGAGCCGGGCTGTTGGACTTTTCGCTGTCCAACGTGCTGGCGTTGGCTTTGGCCGGTGTACCAGGTGCACTGGGTGCTGGACTGGGTGCTGTGGAAGGCGCCGGACTTGGTATGGGCGCAGGACTAGGAGCTGCACTGACCGTAGGGTTCAACGAGCTCACGCTGCCCGTGCTTGCGGGTCTCACGGAGCCATCGCCGCTGGCTGTCCTAGGCGCTGGACTGACCGCAGTCACGGTACGTTCCTGCGTCTGTGTGTTGGGTTGAGCGAGCAAGGCTGCCGTGTTGACCACGGTGGTGATGGAGGTGGCGGCCGAGGCGATCAACGGACTCGGTTCGCTTACCCGTGACAATATTGGAGGTCCGACACATTGCAGGGACAACGGCTGTGGTTCCTCGGTCCTACGTTTCTTACAGACTTCGAGGGATACCGGTTGTCCGGGGTTCTCGGTCAACGAGGGAGTCGGTGCCTTCCTCTTCGGCGAGCCAGATCTCTCGACGCCGAGGTCGAGTGGTTGCGTCTGGAAGGTGGTGTTGATCTGGGGTTGCGAGTGCTGCACCGTTTGACCGGGCTGCTGATGGGGGCTAGTATGATGAGCGGGATGAGCGATCGGCCTGGACAAAGGCGCGGACGCCGCGGTCGGCGGAGAGCCATGAAGAGGAGGCGGCGGTAGTTTTGTGGCTGGCATTGACCCGGTGAAACCTCTTGGGTCGTAGACGGATCTACTGTGAGCCGGTGGCGGCAGGGGTGGTGGCGGCGCCCCGTGATGATGAGGCACTTGTTGGTAAGGCGAGCTGCCGGCCTTCGAGGTGAGCGGTATCGGCGCAGCGACAGCCGGCTCCGAGGCTCTGCAGACCGGCGTGCCGGTCATTATGCCGGAGTTCGGTTTGCCGTAGATGTGGGGCGGCGCCGGGCTGCTCACTTTTGGCTTCGAGCCGGCCGGCGCTGCGTAATGGGACGTCGGCGAGGCCGTGGGCGGATGCGGATGTGGATACGGGTACGAGGACTTGGCAGCGGCGTAAGGTAACCCTGATTCTGGCCTCGTCAGATAACGGGGCTCGGGTGGCGACGGATGCGGTGGCTGATGAGGATGCTGAGCGTGCGGTGACTGTCGATTGTGCGAATGCGGTGGATGCCCGTGCGGGCTGGGTAACTGTGTCGTGGTCGTCGGCCCGCTGCTGCTTCTGTGATGGCCTTGAGGTATACTCTTCGCTGCTTGCAGGCTGCTGTCTAGGTGGTGAAGATGATGCGGACTCTGCGTGGGACTCCTATACTCGTACGGCTTGTGCTGGGGCGCCACTGACTGCACGCTCAGATACGGCATAATCTTCGGGCTCGGCGAGTGTTGCTGAGAGACTGGCGTCTTGGGTAGTTCGCGGCCCTCGTTTTTCACTATCACCGAGCTCTTGTGGTCTGCCAGCAACGAGGGCGGATTCTGCAGCACCTCTCTGCCGTGGTGGTCCCTGTCGAGACCGCCTGCCAAACCGCCCTTGCTCGGCAGTGACTTGTGCGGCTGTCCCACGTCGCTCTTTACCTTGATGTCGTGCATGTACGACGACTGTGGCTGATACGTCGAGTAACTGAACAGTCCCACGTTGGGCTCCATTTTCGGCAGAGAGCTGTGCGACGGTCCAACCACCTGCGGTGGTTTATCGTGAAGACTACTGACTGGAAGCGACGACTTCGATGTCCTCGAGTGCGCCGGCGGAGGTGGGTAATCGACTTTGCCAGGTACGCTCGACGGTCGTGACACCTGACGTGAGAGAATAGAAAGTTCGATTAGTATAGTGGGGTTACGATCATTTTCACTATTGACTCAGATTACTTGTACCGATTGCCAACTCTCGAATAGAATGGACGTGAAGAATATCCGTGGTCTAATGACGAACGTCTACATCTGGAGTTGTATTTCGGTCGGAACTACGGAAAACGCCCGATTCGCATACCTGTTGAGTCGGAGGTGCTGTGGCTGCATAATAAGCAGCCCTCTGCTGAGCCGCAACATGATCCCTGGCCTCGGCTTGCCTGTGCAGCCTCTCGGCCGCGGCCGCGGCCAGGTGTTCCCTTATCCCCAGGTTCTCAGTTTCCCTCTGCCTTTGCTCCCTCGCGTCCCGTTCCCTCGCCTCTCTTTCTCGTTCCTCCCGTTCTCGTTGCTGTTGCTGCGCCACAGTGACCGGATGCGCGCTGCCCGCACCCGCTCCCGGATGATGATGACCTACGTGCGCCGTCATCCCCGAGTGAGGCGCGGCATGCGTCCTGCTACCCGGTGGCGGCAGCGACATGAACGTGTTCCACGCCATCGAGGTCGACTGCATGTTTCTCTGTGGAACATGAGACACCTACTTCAATAAATACTGCCAATCAGTTTCGCGATGAAAATCGTCACGCCCTTTCGTTGTTCGTAGTGGGGCACGGCGTTTGTCACGGGTCTGACGTACTCTGCCGTTCGAAGATATTCGATCGGTAGCAATATTCACGATTCATAGGGACATGCGGGATTAGCGGTTTACAATCGGTTTTATCGTCTCTGTCGAGTTACAACGGTTTAATTCGGAGGACTATAAAAGTTCGAGGATTCATTCGCGAGTTTCTTTTCCGAGGGGAAAAAGCCAAGTCCGTTTATTCATCGAAGAAGCAATAAAATGACTTTGAGAAGCAGTGTACTTCGGGGCTGTTCGGGGACGTGCTATTTTCGCGTTCGTTCGCTCGTTCTGTCATCGTCAGCCACGGAAACGCATTCCCGTGATACTGACACGATGAAGAAAGTGTACGACCCGCTGACGCGACCGTTTTGCCAGGTTTGACGGCAAATATGTGTTTATTTTCAGGCGGACTATTTTTAACACCGACACGGACCAGAGTGCAACGTCTCGACGCCGCTACCCTTTCCCGCCGTAGAGACGAGGATGCTGGCGCGGCACTGTCTTGGAATGGTTCAACGAGCGATAACTGACACTCTAGATCGATTTGTTACCGCCTTTATCTTTTGCTCTTCCCCGGCTCACTGGCTACAAGGCACGCCAGTCGCGGGCGATGATGTACGAATTTCAGACGTTGTTTGTTACTATCCTTATGGCAGCTTTATTGTGCAATAATTGGACGTAAACATTACGCGGTACATGGTTTATACAATCCGCATTTCACCAGCTGACAATAAAGAATGAGTATTGTTCGAAAATAATTGTTTTATGACCGTGGGGTATCCAAAGAATTTCACAATGTTCCGCGGGAAAACAGCTTGTACCATTTTATTTGAATCAATCTCTGCGTCTCATATATTTCGAATGGGGTGAAACGGAACCTTCGAATGACTCCATATTTCCTACCAGCCATTATTGCCGTCACGTGTTATCATTTTTCATTGATATGCACGAATGTGCGTGTCATACGAGCCGGAGTCGTATTATGTGGAACTTGCGAAACCGATAAGAAGCGTCTGCGTGGCTGGTACCTTTCCACGTGCAACCAACAGAGGCACACAAACACAGAAACCACGACGACAGACAGGCAGGCATGTGCACGTACACTTTCGCGCTCTTTAATCCCTGGTACAAGGAAATGGAAGGTGTTTGTCAGGATTTTCTTGCGCTTCCACCACACGCCTCGTGACTTTGACGAGAACTTCAAAGTTCAGCGAATCTAAATAGAGGATACACGGTTTTCATGGCTGAAGCGGCACGATCCAGTCGGCCAGCAGTGCTGAATCATCGGCCAACTGTGCACGATCGGGAAGACAAAACCGCGTGACGCGGACTAGCAAGAATTCAAATTGTCGAGATATCAGGCCACCGGGGGACCTGACGCTGATAAAACAAACTGCGAGAACCAGGGGAGCCGTGAGTCACAGCGAGAGCTGTTCCGACACGCCGAATACCAACGTGTCATACGCTGTCGGTTACGATCGAACGCCGTGTTTTCTTTGCAAGGTGTCACGAGGCTAGAACTCTTATTGATTGACCTATTCACAGTCCACTGAAACGAGGAGAAACGACCCAAATCACCTGTCCAGCTTTTTATCACATAAGAAACGCACCTTTCTTTCCTTTTTTTTTTGTCGCTGATTCACGAAGCAATTAAAATCAATTTCCGGTGCTAGGTTAAATTCTACGTAGTTCGAAATTTAAGAGAAATTTCGCTGATGGTGTAGTTCCCGATGCCTGAACGTGAAATAGGAACGTACTGTTATTGTTAGAAGATGAACAGCCCGATATAAAGCGTTTTACGTGTCAAATACCGCTACGCTCGAATGAATAAACAATTTTATCCGTGCAATTACATCGCCAGACTAAGCAACCTGGCATCCGCCATCTTGTCGAAGATGTAGCTTCACTGAACTTTGAAGGGGTTAAGAAATCGAGAGGGGAAAAAAGACATATCCATGGTGGTTTTCTTCTAGCGTGCTGTGTGTCAAGGTCAGTGCACCGAGTCACCAGATAAAATCCATCAGCGGCGATGAACAGTAGAAGAGCAAGAAGGATGAGGAGAATTAACGGTGCGTGTGCGGAGGAGGGTAGGAGGACGAAGAGGGGGAGAATGATGAGGAGGAGGCTTTAAGCAGCCTGTCGAGAACAGACCGCGAATCTAATTATAGTCTCGTCCGAGAAGAAGGTTTACTATGCTAATCGAGCTGGCCGAGTAAATGTCAACCCACGTGTTCTGTTTACCACGGTGCTCGCGTCATCATTCCACGTGCCTGTTTGTATTCGCCGCGTGTATATCCTGCACTCTCCGCGTACACGCTATCTTTCAATGATTCTCGCCGTTACCGGCAGCCATGTTTCTCGTTGTGATAACGCTGAGGTTATCTGTCGATGGGGGTTCTGCTTTTGTTCCTGATAACCGGCGAGAGTTATTTAGGGACATCTGGCTCGATTATGTGACTCAGACGGATTCGATCGGTACCGTTTGAATTTCGGCCGTAGGATACAAATTCCTGCTTCGCGATTGGAATTTGAATTTGTATCTGACGGTTATGATTTGAATTTGAATCTGATGGTTAAGATTTGAACGTGAATTATAATCTGGGCGATAAAGATTTTAAAATTGAATGTGGCAGTTGCGTCGAAGAAGAGAACGCAAACAAAAAATTCCTTGGAGTACCGAGTGAAAAGAGTAAAGTAGAATAGTTAGAAATACACTTTCCAAAAGATGATCCAGCAACGAGTGGCGTGTCCGCGCGGGTATGCACACATATACACGCGTGCATCGTACACCAGTGAACAAAAAGCAGATTAAGCGTCACGGGTTAAGAGTTCAGGAAGAGAAAGTCAACGAACCAATGGCAGCCAGTCCCTGATTGAGTCTGAATGCCGCGTTCTGGCTTTTATTACGTGCAATCGCTCGGATTCGGACCCGTTTCCTCTCTCGCTCTTTCTCCCTCCCTCACACACCCCTTTTTTCTGGCGCGAATCGCGCGTGTCTCGCGCCTTTAACAAGCGTTTTACGAGCTTTTGTCCATGGCTCCGGGCTCGCTCTGCACACCTTTTGTCGGGAGCTGTAATATACGCGTACAAAACGCCGCGCGTATAATGCCGTTGTACACGCGGACAAAACGCGTGCGCGCGTGCGATCACGGCTAACCCGCGGGTACAGAGAGAGACACGAAGGAAATACACCGCCAACGACACGTATCTTCGACTTATCCTTTGTCTAACAAAATGGAGTGACTGATTCTACAAAAAAAATTACACTTTACAGATATCCTTTCCTGAAAATTTTGAAGCTAACAAATTGTCTTTTATCAATCTCTATCAATGAAAGAGAAACTTAATCATCTCCAAAACTGAATAATATTCTACTACCATAACGTAAGACAAATATATTACATAACCACCAATCACACAAGCTTCATTATACCATTATAAAATAAAATTATCCTGCCCGAGGAGTAATAAAAAACTCTAGCCTGGTATTTTCAATTAGAAGTACGCCTGCAAAAGGAACTTCTATTGAATACCAAACGTTGTGTACCGCGAACATGGTAAATTTATTAAAAACAAGTACACGAGTAATATAACGAAATATCAGATTAGAAAATGAATGATTATTTCGTACGAGGATAATAAAACTGTGCTGGTTTTATTGATTACCGGGTGTCGGGCGTAGCGATATTCTCGCAGTCTCTCTTCCTCACTCTTCCTATCCCGGTTCTTCCACGTCACGCTTTTTAAACGTGCATCAATTTGCCCGTGTTTCACAACGAACCCAGCCTGCTAGTGTGCGCCTGCGCGTGTGTACAGGCGAGCGCCGCTCGTCTTAACGAGCGCAACGATTCATGCCGTGCGAATTACAAGCGGGAATCTAGCTTGGAACGGAGCTGAGTCATCCCGCGCGAATTTCTTGTCGGACGTTGCGATCGGATCGAATCGGGC